GTGAGACAAAGTTTGGCCATTCTTGCTTCCAAGGAGCATTCTGGCTGTACTTCTTCTGGGACAGATTTATTAGTTCTTTTAGCAGTCCATGGTACTTTCAGCATTCTTTGCCAGCACCACAAGTCAAAAGAATTGACTCTTCTTTGGTCTTCCTTTTTCACTGTTCAGCTCTCATGTGCGTATTAGGCGATCGAAAATACTATGGCTTATCAAGCACACCTTAGTCTTCAAGGAAACATCTTTGGTCTTCAGCACTTGAAAGAGGTCCTTTGCAGCAGATTTTCCCAATGCTATATGATGTCTGATATCTTGACTGCTGCTTCCATTGGTGCTGATTGTAGAATTAAGTAATATGAAGTCTCTGGCAACTTCAATTTTTTCTCCATTTATCATGCTGCTGCTTATTGGTCCCGTTGTGAGGACTTTTATTTTCTTTATGTTGAGGTGTAATCCATACTACAGACTGTAGTCTTCAATCTTCATCAGTAAGTGTTTCAAGTCATCCTCACTTTCAGCGAGCAAAGTTATGCTGTCTGCATAATGTAGGTTGTTAATGAGTCTTCCTCCAATCCTGATGCCACATTCTTCTTCATATAGTCCAGCTTCTCAGATTATTTGTTCAGTATACAGATGGAAAGGAGCTCTGGTAGCATAGTGCCTAAGGCACCTGACTGCTCATCAGAAGGCTGGCGGTTCAAACCCACCAGCCACTCATCGGAAGGAAGGTTGGGCAATCCTACTTTCGTAGTGATACTGCTTCGGAAACCCAAGGAGGGGTCGCTATGAGTTGGGGCCAACTCGACGGCAAATAACAACAACAACAACATACAGATGGAATAAGTATGGTGAAAGGATACAACCCTGACACACCCCCTTCTTGATTTTAAACCATGCAGTGTCCCCTCCTTCTGTTTGAATGACAGCCTCCTGGTCTATGTACAAGTTCCTCATGAGCACAATTAAGTGTTATGGATTCCCATTCTTCTCAATGTTATCCACAATTTGTTATGTTCCACACAACTGAATGCTTTTGCATAGTCAATAAAACATAAGTAAACATCTTTCTGGTATTCTTTGCTCTGAGCCAAGATCCACCTGACCATCAACAATGATATCCCTTGTTCCATATCCTCTTCTGAATCCAGCTTGCATTTCTCGAAGTTCTCTGTCAATATACTACTGTAATCATTTTTAAAATATCTTCAGTAAGATTTTACTTGAATGAGATATTAATGATATTGTTCAATAATTTCCATATTCTGTGGGATCACCTTTCTTTGGAATGGGTACAAATATGGATCTCTTCCAGTCAGTTGGCCAGGTAGCTGTCTTCCAAATCTGGCACAGCTGAGTGAGTGCCTCTGGTGAAGCATCCATTTGTTAAAACATCTCAATGGTTATTCCATCAATTCCTGGAGCCTTGTTTTTCACCCCTTTCCTCAGTGCAGCTTTATTTAGTTCCTTCAACTTGAGAAGTTTCGAGCATGTTCTTCTTCCTTTTTGGTTTTCTAACTCCAGGTCTTTGCACATTTCATCATAACATATTACTTCATGTCTTTTCAAGCTGCCCTTTGAAATCTTCTGTTCCACTCTTTTACTTCATTTCTTCCATTCACTTTATCTACTCTCCATTCAAGAGC